CAATAGTATATAATAGTGTTAAGTATTACAGTTTTTATTATGACATTATTATTACACAAGAGGTAACGCCCGGACCACATTGTCCATGTGAGCAGCATGCATGGATCGCGGTACCTCTTTGTATGTTTTTTTCGGCACCTGTGTTCATAGTTAGAGCAGCCATAATGCCCACCTGAGCTTTTATTTTGAATAAACAGTCGTTATAGCAGCAGGCAGCTCTGCAGCCGCAACGCTGTCTGTCTGAACACTGCATTAGGGCTGTCAAAAGCACCATGGAATTGAGTTTGAATATTTTCGAATGAATTTAGTAGAGTTTGAATAATATCATTATTATTATTATTTTTTTATTTTATTTTTTTCACAAAAAAAACACAAAAATAAGATGCTTATTGCTGGCGCAATATGAACGTGACACTCAGATGAAAACACAGATTCTGACCTCACTGAAGTGCAAGGTATGCCCAACTTCTGCCTCGCTATCTGAGCAATGTTTGGATACTTCAGTGCGTAGTTTTCCACCACAAGAGTGGATCCTGGTCGGCTCGTGGTGGTGTCTCATTCTGGTAACGTTTCATCTCTTCTTCAAAAACGGATAGGCAGGGAGGCAGCAGATACAACACTCTCCCTGTATGTCTCCCAAAACAGGTTACACATCGCGGACAGCACAGTGGGTGGTGTTGGCGCAGCGGGCTCTTCCGTCGGCTGCATCCCTCTCTGGCCCAGCTTGTGCGCGAGCCATCTCCACCCGAACGGGATTCGCTGTGATATACAACATTAGTAATAGTATTAATTAATTATTAATGATATTTGAATTATCAAATTTAGGTTTGAACTTATGAAGAATATATATGTCTTTGAATATATTTCGAACTTCAAATTTTTTTTGACAGCCCTACACTGCATGTGTGTGAGTCAAAGCAGTCCAGTGCGGTAGCCATCACGTGTTGCTCACACAGGCAGTGGGGCCCAGGTGTTTGTGTGAGCAAACACAGGTGGTACAATCTGACTGGAACTCCTGGTTTAAAGCTTGGGTATGGAAGCATTTTGTCTTCATGAAGGTGAAAGGAAAAGGGACATAGACAACAGCCAAACTGTATGCAAGTAAAATATTTTCTTAAATTCATTATGGACCATTACAAATATGCAATGTTTTAAAAGTAACAAGAGGTCACTCAGTGACAAAAATAAATCATGTACAGCGATCAAAAGATACATCTTGGTGCATCCAAAACTTTGGATGCATCAAGCTCCTTTATACCTTTCAAACAGTGCTGAGGTGCTGTAAGCTTCCTTAATGCTGCAGCCCCACTGCCTTAAGCTAACCTCGCTGGCCATGTCAACACTAATTGAGGTAGTTTCTTCTTTGACATCCAAGCCTAAATAGGATTTAGTTTTTGTTGCTATAGCATAACCTTAAGCTGCAGAATAGGCTGGTATTGGAAGACCATTTTTGTATATGTTTTTTTTATGTTATATACTGTGTCTCTCACCCTGCAGCATGGCTGAGCAGGACTCCTTGTCTCTCCCAGAGAGCTCATGCCCTGCCTTAGGTCCCACCACAGCTCCCACCGCAGCACAGCAACAGAGAGTATCCATTCATAAGCCCTTTACCCAGTCCCGGTTACCTCCCGACCTGCCCATGCACCCTGCCCCGCGCCACATCACGGAAGAGGAGTTAAGGGTGCTTGAAGGTTGCTTACATCGCTGGAGGAGTGAAGTGGAAAATGACACCCGTGGTAGGTCTGCCTGCCTCCTGTTCGCAGCCCTTTATTCTAGTCTCTGTTCTGGTTCCCTCAGCATAATTTACCTGTCCATTACTTTCTCTGTAATATTCTAGAAGTAAACATTAGATTTACACTCACTAATAGATTGTATATGATGTTCTTCTCACCAGATCTGCAGGGAAGTATAACCAGAATTCACAGAACCATTGAGCTAATGTACTCTGACAAATCTATGATGCAGGTGAGCTGCATTTTCTTTAATCAGGCATTTCAATACAAAAAGCAATTGCTCCATTTGTTAATAAACATTTGAAATTTCCTTTGTGTTGTTTCAGGTCCCATACCGGCTTCATGCAGTGCTTGTCCATGAAGGCCAGGCCAATGCAGGCCACTACTGGGCTTACATCTATGACCCACATCAGCGTTGCTGGATGAAGTACAACGACATCTCTGTCACCAAGTCATCCTGGGAGGAACTGGTCAGAGACTCGTTTGGAGGCTACCGCAACGCTAGTGCCTACTGTCTCATGTATATCAATGACAAGAAGCCCTTTCTCATAGAAGGTACACATTAGGGCTTTCCAAATTCCTCAAAAATGACGTTCGAATAGTCCTTCTAAAAATAACTCATAGGTTTAAACCATTCAATTTTTTTTTTTCCGCATTATGTCCACAAGAGGGCAAACTAATACAAGGAAATATAGTTGTATATGTATTAATACAAGGAAACATAACTACTTGTAGGTATTTTTATTTATTTATTTTTTTTAAAGATTATTTTTGTGGGCAGCAAAGGGCCGCGAGTCTGATTCGAGCCTGCGGCCGCTGCAGCAAGGCAATGCCTCTGTACATGTGGCGCCGGCACTATCCATTACGCTACCGACGCCCCAGGTATTTTTATTTCAACATAAACATTTACATACCTACACATTAAAACACATAAAACAATTATCTATAACATCACGTTATAAACAACCGCGGACCTCTCGCTCGCCCCCCCTCTCTGACCCGTCATGCAGTGCATTCAGTGCAGTGGCCCAGGCCAACACCCACTCGCAAAGAGGACAGGTTCGGTGGTGGGGTTTTTTTTCTCCATAATCAAATATCAATTTTCACATTCGAAGGTCCATTTTTTTTCAAATTCGAATTTAAATTTGAATTTAGAATATTCGTTAACAGCCCTAGTACACATGGACCAAGGTTTAACCAATGGTAGAGATCTTATGTATATTCGGTGCAAAACTGACTCCTCATTAAGTCCTGCCTCTCAAACGCAGACTGGTCAATCATAGCGTAGCATGGCTGTGCTCCATACTCTCAGGCAATTGTTTCAGATTTCCTTCATTTTCAGGCTGGTTTTGTTGATTTTGAGAAACATTGTGCATGGGGCACATTGTGTTTTAATGACACTTGTTACCTGTAGAGGTTGGAACGAGATAAACATTTGTTTGCCATTCCAAAACCAAAAGCAAAGCCTGAAAAATGTAAGGATAGCTAGCTAGCTAGCCAGCTACTGAAGCCCTGAAGCCTACTGAATGTATACGCATGCTACTTTTGCTTTTAATTGATTATAACAGTGAATAACGACCTACCTGCCCTACTGGAAACAGTGAAGGGAAGCAGGGAAACTTTGTTGATATTCAGCCAGCTGTGTTATTGCAATATTTGCAGACGAACATTGTTTTGCTCCCTGCTCGTTCAGCGGCAGAGATCATCTGTAGCCCGTAGTTGGGCTTTAGCTTCTAACTATCATAACCTTTTTAACCTGTTTTTGCGACTGAGTTAGTTTGAAACCCTGGCTTTATCCTTCAAATTTATATTGTAGACCTCTCTGTCTGATTCTCTCTGAAAAAAAATCCTAAAAATTGCTAATATTTCTTCAAGGAGTGCAGTTAGTGACAGTTTGGACTTCATACTTGCTCTGACAGCTTAATGTACTGCCACAAAGGGGTGGGGTGGGGCTTAGCGAAGGGTCAATTGTGTAAGAGATTGTTTTTTTCTGTTTATTGATTTAGTCATTTTTCTCAAAACATATCTTGGACTTGGCTACATTTAGAGGCCAAAGGATAACATCTACTACTGATTTGTGTGATGGACTAATCCAGTCATGGCACATGTTTATTGGCATCATAGATAAAGAAAAGCTATTGTTTCTTCTGCTTGTTCTGTCACTTGTGTTACATTCCTTCACTGGTAATCACATACTCTCATAACTCCTTAACTAATACAACCGTGGAGCTAACCAACAATTATTAAAATGATAATCTTACTATATAATGACGAAAACTCTGTCTGTGGGTGTGTCTGTTTCACGTTTTTCTCCTCACTGACTTGGTCAATCCATGTGAAATTTGGCACAGTGGTAGAGGGTCATGGGAGGATGTGAATGAAGCAATATTACACCAATTGGCCAAAAGGGGGCGCTATAGCAACCGATTGAAATTGCAAATTTTGAATGGGCATATCTCATGCCCCATATGTTGTAGAGACATGAAACTTTGCACAGAGATGCCTCTCCTCATGAGGAACAAATTTGCCTCAAGAACCCATAACTTCCGGTTATGCAGATTTTCCGCCATTTTGAATTTTTTGAAAAACACTTAAAGTCGATCTCTTCCTAGGAAGTTTGACCGATCTGCATGAAACTCGGTGAACATGATCTAGGGACCAATATCTAAAGTTCCCTCTTGGCAAAAGTTGGAAAACTTACTAAAACTGAGCTTCTATCCACCTTATTTTCAAACACGGAAGTAAATAGTGATCAACTTCCGTGTTTTTGTGCGTGACTTCCGGTCAGCCGCTTTCCCTCATGCTTTCCCTTACTGGAGCTAACGGTGCAAGCTAATTTTTTTCAATTTTCAATTGTTTATGTTAGTCAATCAGTTAGTTAGTTAGTTTGTCTGTGTATTTTATATAGATAACTGTGCCCACGTTTCCGTTATCCGGTAATTGCCGGTAAAAATAATTCCATTTAAACGCGAATAAATCACACTTCAATCAAAAACTATGAACCAAAAAAGCACAGTCAATCCAGAGTGAGACAAACTGCTTGATCCCCGTCTCAAGTGTACCAGCAGAGAACCTGCAGAACCGAATCAGTGAAAAAACACACCGGGCTACACAGCCTATCTACCTGAGCAGCTGAAGCTGCGGCTCGTACCCTCGACACACAGACACACAGACACACAGACGGTGCTTCTGCATGCCAGCCAAACGTGTGCGCAACTGTGAGAAATAAATATGTGAAGTGTACGCTGCTTTTCTATCTTTTTTTCCCCTTTTCTTTCTTTCTTTCTGTCAGCGATGTACACTCCTAACACAGGACGGGTTGTTTTTATTGACTGAGTTGATTATTAAACCATAGAGATGCGCGGATCGGCTCTGATAGCACCCGAATCAGCATGTACGCATCAACCATCCAGCTGTTACAACATGATTGAGCTAGCAAAACAGTTTTGTGTTGCTATATGTGGTATTTATTCAGTTTTGGGAAATCACGATGTCTAGAAAGCATCAGTGGCTGCAGCTGACAGGGACAGCAAAGCTAACATCAGGACGTCATCTGTTAAAAGCCTTCTGTTGTCAGATACGACATGAAACTACTCCAGTTAGCTCAGTCAGGTTGTAACTAAGACATCCGCTGGAAAAAATATTTTTTTCACAGACACCGCTAACGGCTAACAGCTAACGGTTAGCCCAGCTAATCTACAATAACCATGCTATTAATTACACACACAGAAATAGTAACGTTTGTTCAGTCATTGTGTTTATAGGCTTTACAAACATCAGATTAGTCTAAACGGTGATATAGTGACGTGAAAAATGTGATATATATATATATATATATATATATATATACATATATATATATGTATATATATTTTTTTTTTTTTACTAAATTTGTAGATATGTATTTAGATATGTAGAACAGGTGACTGGAGAAATTTAACTAATTGGCAACTGGGTGGCGCTATAACAACAGAAAATGCTTAAAAATGGCTAAAATGCGACCGATAGCTGTGGCTCCTCCTGTGGCCGAATGTTTGTTTGTTTGTTTTTTTTTCTAATTTTTGGTATGACTAAGTCATGGTATGGTATGCTGTACATAATCACAGAAACTGCACATAGGCACTGAGGATTGGCATAGGTAAAAGGTGACAAAGTTACCAATGGGTATGGACTAGTATTGAATTATTTGATTTAAAATATGAAATATGACCGCCGCTGCTGTTTTATTTTTTTTTTGTTGTTTTTTTGCTCTAGCTCTTTAGAAACTACGGTTATATTATTTGGCACCACGGACGCTTCATATCCAGGCCTATAGAACAGGTCTATACCTTGTCTTTTTATTAAACAAACTAAATTGCCCTATGTTATTTATCTGATTTACACCACGGCATGTCATTTCTGTCTCTACATGGTTGCATGTTTATAATTCTCCTCTGCTCTCTGTATCGCGCACAGCGGAGTTTCGCGCACACACACACACACACACACACACAGGTGATCACACTAGAGCGCGGCTCGGGCCACATTTTCCTGACCAAACCTGACCCAAGTCCAAGACAATTATAACCGAGCCCGGCCCAAACCTGCACCATGGCACAAAGGAGCGTAGCTGGTGTTGCGTTCAAGCGTTGTCACGTAAATAACAAATTCCAGCACTTGAATAGGCCATAGCACAACACAGCAGCATGTCAAGTGGGCTGAACCAGAGCAAAATTTTTGATTTGTTATCCACCCCCATCTGTAGTTGAGTGCCTCTGGGACAGGCCCAACCTTCAGGCAGGCAGCTAGGTGCTCTCCCTGCAACCTGTTGCATAGATCAGTTTTGACCTGGAATGGAAAGTAACTACCATGAGCCAAATGAGAAAGAAAGTTTTCAGAGCTTACTTCAATGGTGCTGTGTGTTGCCGTGCAGGCTCAGAGTTGTCTTGTCTTGGGGGTGCAAAGAATTCTTAGTAGGCGCTCCAGCTGGTGCTACAGAGTGACGTTCATTCACCGTAGGCATTTTATATCTGGCCACTTTTTGGAGACTATGGCGGGCTGCCATAGTCTCTTCAATGTATGGGAAACACTGCACATATTTCCCAGTCTGTTGTTGCTCCAGAATCAGTGTATATTTACAACAGAAAATAAAGTTTATCAGTTTGCACATGAAATATCTGAAATATCTAATGTCTCTGTACTGTATTCAATTGAAATAAGTCCAGAAAGATATGCATATCATTGCATTCTGTTTTTATTTATGTTTCACAGTGTCCCAAGTTGTATGTTCAGTATTTCAACATTCTCTAATTTCTATTTTTTTTTTTTACTTTTCTTTACATCAACACATTTCTCCTTTAAATGGCTGTATTTGTTCAAGTGTCTAGCAAAAAACTACATTTTAAAAGATTACATTTAACACATTGCGATATACATTATGATTTATCTTTGCACAATACTCATTTTTACTGAATAGAACTTGAACACGTCTTATTGGAACACAGTGCAATCTCCATTACCTGTTAGCTGCGGGCACCAGCTGCTAACAGCTTTAACCGGTATGTAGCTTTAACAGGAAAACAGTAGGATGCGTCGATAGTGAGTTTGCATCCTCTCGTCCCAACAGCAATCTGGAGAAGATCTCTGTTCGTTCCAAACATATTTTCTATTGTCCCCAGGACAACGGGACACTGTTAGTCTCGAGCCTGCTTTTTATACTGCGTAAAACTGATGTGACACAACAGAAACACATCAGCCACTGCCATCGGTAAATGTTCTGTCGTATGATTTGCTGAAATGCAGATGGCAGTCAACAAGGTGAACGGCCAATCCTGATGTTGAGCCGATAAATCGGTGCATCTAGTTATGACGTGTTTATGTTTTCTTGTATTCTAAGTGCAGCACTGAAAATAAAAAGTAATAACATTCTATTGACAGAGTTCATTGTGTGTCTCTTTTGTTTGTGCAGAGGAGTTTGATAAGGAAACGGGACAGATACTCAGTGGCATGGACAAACTGCCTCCAGACCTAAAGCAGTACGTAAAGGAGGATAATGAGCTGTTTGACAAGGAGATTGAGGAATGGGATGCCCTACAGGCCTGCAAGGACCAGCAGGAGAAGCTGGCCCTGGCCACAGCAGCCACAGCAGCCTCAGCAGCATCCAGCACCTCCACTTCTTCCTGTTTTCCTCAACCCATGAGTATTGAGTCCAACACTCCAGACAACACAGGTGAGGGTCGCTACACTCTGAATACAGAGTAGAGAGGACATGGAGAAGCAGTACTTGGTAGTAAGAGAAGTATGTGAAAACTTTTGTTCTCTGAAGAGTTATAAAAGAATGAAGAAATTGCTATGAAATATAGCGTAAAGCCACACAACCCTAACTCCCTTTGGCATGTTATGTTATAGTATATAATATTGTCTACAATATATACACAATATCACAGGGAAGGTCTCAGCCAAAAATTGCTGGCTACAGGAAAGTGATTTCAGATGTTTGTCATTCAGCCCACAGCAATCAAATGTATCTCTGTTGAAATATGGTGGACACATGGTATGGTGCCTGGCTAAATTAAAGGGATAGTGCACCCAAAAATGAAAATTCAGCCATTATCTACTCACCCATATGCCGAAGGAGGCTTAGGTGAAGTTTGGGAGATATTTTGTGGTTTCAATTATGTGTTTTTGGACGTTTGAATCTGGGGCACCGTAAGCCTCCATTAGGTGCAGTTGTGTTGCTACCTCCTTTCCCCTTGGATCTCTGCAAGTGATGTGAGGACTCTAAAACTTCACCTGAGCCTCCCTCGGCATATGGGTGAGTAGATAGTGGCTGAATTTTCATTTTTGGGTGCACTATCCCTCTAAGCAACGAACAGTATCTTTTATTGGGTTATAAGTCAACCAAACATGTAATGGAACCCACCTGATACTTAAACTAATGTGGCTGTGCTGTTATTATTGAAACTAAAATTGAATCTGTGCACCTGTGTAGGAGCAATACCTTTTTGAGAATGTTTGCACTCGTAATAAGGTTTGGGGCACCACCCTCTTAATGAGGGAAGCGACAAATCAAATGAATACCTCCGTAAACCAATCATTAATTCGTCAGCACGCTTTTCAATAATGAATCAATCTCAATATCTGGATTATGAATTCTCCATACAGGGATCTTAGTTCCTGTTCAAAAGAAATATACGCAGACAACGACTTGGTGATAAATGCAGATTTATTTAAGCTAAATGTGTAACAACTGAGTAAATGAATAGCAAATGATAATGATATGGAATAACACAAAATCAACAGTGTGTATATATATATACGGATTGAAATGAGAGGTGACACTTGTGAGTTATTTAGTTTGGCGATAGTGAGAGAGTATGTGACTATAGATAAATTGGGAACGCAGGGATGCCCTTCACCTAAGGAAATCTAAATTATGATTAAGATAATTAAACCTCCTATTCGACATCAACTCTTTTACCACACAGCGGCGGCCTGTAGTTAGAGAAATTCTTTTCCTACTTTCTTAGCAACATTGATTCAGGCGGACGTTTCTTTCCGAGGACCCCCTGATTATCACTTTGCAACTCCCGGCTTCACTTCATGGCCTTCCAGCAGGGTGATACAAACTGGAACACAGCGGTGATGGGCGGTGGAGCCTGGTGGCGGTGTCCTTTCGGGTGGCCCTCAACGTTGGTTCTCTTAAGCTGCAGAAAGTCTCTGGGTTTGGCAACAGAACCACTGTGACAAGTGGCTGGCAGCCACTGGCTCCAATGAATCTGGTGTGAAGAAGTCAGTCGAACAGGCGCTTGTCTACTTTGTTATGATTACTCGCTTAAATAATAAAGTTGAAAACAATCTCGTTGGGTGTTCGATTTTGTTATCAAAGTTACTATTAACGCGCATAAAAATGTTAAAATTGGCTGGCTTCGTCACTTCAAGTATAATGTTACTAAAATTTAAAAGTTTAAAATAAATTTGGTCGTGAACAAGAACGAGTTATGCAGGAACCATAACTGGCTAAAACATAAGATACGGCAAAAGCTAGTGGACAAAAACGAAAAAGGCAAAAAAAAAAAAAAGAGAGAGAGACAAAGAGTATGGAAAATGAAGTCGAAGAGATTGAGACGAAAAAAAGAGCAAGAGGAACAGGAGGAGGAGAACAAGAGAAAGAGAGAGATGCACTGCGCTCACTTGTTTTTATCTGGCCAAAGTGGGTGGGTTTGTTAAGGCGGTCTCTTTTGTTGTAAATAGGCTTATCATTTTATTTTGGAGGAAACTTAATGCTTTTGATTATACGAGATCATATACTTTAACATGTTACACGTGATAGACACATACTCTTCCCATTATGGTCAAAATCAGTTCTTAACATCCAATTAATATTAATACAATTATTACACCGCATATATCAGCAAAGTACACGTATAAGCTGATTCAAATACACACACTCTAGACTAACCTATAGTTGAAATATAAAATGAAAAAACATAATGAGGAAGCACATATTCATAACAACAGGTTGATTAATAAAACCCAACTATGTTTTAATTCTAAATATAATATGGAATTCTTTAGGGGAACTCTCCTTAACTCCGTCAACAAGATGGCAGTATGGTTCAGTGTTAAATGAGGGATTAAAAGAAAAGTGAATTTACAACTCATTAATCTTTTGTTTTACAGGATTAAAGAAAAATATCATTCAGCTACCAAACATGGATTATGCACATGTACAAGGTTAGGAAATGAAGATGAGAACAAAAAGGAAACAAATGTATAATTTCACTTCTAAGAGACACTGTTACAACAGAGACTTGGTTTTGCGTTCAGGAATGCATATCTAATTTAGGACATTAACATCTGTTCAGTCTCCTCTTCACCTCATTGTGAATGAGCTGGTGTGATTTCCCGGGTGGTGCGAGGGGACATCATGGGATGTACTTGGAAAGCATTGTCTTAAGATCCTAGCCAGGTGGTTAATCAAACCAAGTTGCCCCCAGGCTGGATCCCTTTTATGAGTTAATGACATCAGGAGCCTTGAAGGATCTCAAGTGAACTTTTTACCCCCCTTTTGGCACCCGGATTTCTGGAGGGAGCATCCCTCATGACCAGGGTAATCTCGGGGGCAGGGTAATAAACATTTGGCCCTCCTTGTGGTTCCTCATTGTCTATTGTAGTCCACTCTGGAGAGTTTAGAATACTTGTGTCCCTACACCTGTCTAGAATGTGATTATGGATATTGGTAAATGTTATGGGTAATTTCTACAATCATGATCACACTAATACAGAAACATTTACACCTAGTGCATATTGGCATTTGTGTGTGAAAAGAAAGGTTTTGAAAGTAAAGGCCTGTGCATTTTTGTGTTTTGGTGTTGTTGCCCTCCTGCAGTACCCCAGCATGACCCAGAGTACATGGAGCAGCCATCACCCACAAATGACTCCAAGCACCTGCAGGAGGACACCCAGAGGGCCATCTCCAGGGCTGCTGCTGAACAAGAGGAGAGAAGCCCTGAGGCATTGTTAAATGCTGTATGTAAAACATGCCACTCTCACACCTAGTCATTGTCACCCAACATGTGTCTTCTGTCTTTCGTACATGTCTGTTTGTATAATAATCAACAAGATTAAGTGTTGTGTATCCACTAGTTTTTATTTGGTCTTATTTTATTTCATTTCATCCAGTCATATTTTTTTCCTTGTGACTAACTAAACTCTGAGAACACCATTTAGAGTAATTGTTTGCTTAGGGTCTTATTACATTTATTAAATGTGGTCATTCTTTGTAGTCATTTTTGGCTTCTAAAATCTAATATTTAAAGAGGTATTCCACTGCTTGAAAGATGGTCTTTCAATAAAAGTGGGCTGTCTGTGCAGTAGAAAGACACAAATACTTTTGAAACTGGTGCTACATGACCAAACAAAACAGAGGAAAGGACTGAGGCATTTGCGTTTGCTCAAGAGGTAGAAAACCTACAACTACCAAAATGCACTGATGCACAGGACCAATAAACGCTACCGCTGGTGAGTGACATAATGCAAGCTTGTCTGTTTGACACAGTGGCGGCTGGCTGGTAACAACAATCTTGTTTTACAGTTAAACTGTAGAGTAGTGTACAGTTAAAACGTGTTTCTGAAAACATTTGAGGTGAGGAAAGGCCACTCAGTAACAAAATCTTTATGTTTGATCAGCGCCGCTTAGTTTTACTGTTTGGAGTTTGGTCTTAAGCCTCCTACAGACTGTGAGATTTTAACGATCTTATAAGTTTAGTGCAGCTACACTGTGCGACATGGATGTAATAAACTTGAGTATGACATCAAGATGGATGCAGACAGTACGATGAGAGCACATACTCAATCTGACGTTTTGCCTCTATGGCAAGCTGCTCTTTGTCTGTTTGTTTGGGTTTAGGGCCAGTGCATCATTTCATGCTGCAATTGCTGTTTGTTGGTTTGTAGATGTAGATGGTAACAGCAGTCACACAGTGAGAGTGATCCCAAATTTCTGTCTCTCACTGTGCAAAGCAGGACCAACGTTTTAGAGCCACGACTGAAGATATCGCCAGGTTTGTGAGAGACAGAGGCAGGTCTTTCTCTTGACACACTTCTATACTCTTTGTGTCCAGCCAGCTTTATATTTTTTTCTGTAGAGTTGGTGAGGACCAAACCACAGCTAAAAAGAAGACAATATTGGACATACATTCACCAGTTGGTTAGAAACATGAATTCAAATAAATTTTAATTTTACTCTGTAACTGCTGCCTGTGTAAAGAAGGTTGCCATGGTAATGCAGTGTGTCAATGTGTGTGTTCACCTTGTTTCCACTTCCCCCAAGTGGCCAAATAGTTAAGTTAAATGCAGGTTGGAAGGATAGATTCATGGGTACAGTTTTTCTGCTAAGCTGCTGTGAATGAATTTCTCAGTAAAAAAATACTACAACTTAACAGCCCGCTGACATCTCTTGTTAGCACCAGCAGAGCCTAAAAATGTATTTTGGCACAGAAGAAGAACTTAAGAGTGTTTTGCCCATTGTTACATTGGAACTGCACTACAGAGAGATTTTCTCACAGCCAGTATGGAGAGAAGGAACATTTAGAGCAACTAAAAAACTGTCATTGTACATACGGACTTGTAGGTGTTGTTTTAAGACATGTTTGAACTAATTTGAACTTGTCTTCTAATCCCTGTGCCATGCTTATTCAAGTTTCCAATACCATGTCCACAAGTGTGCCCAGTAAATGTGAACAAGGATTGAAAGATCTGTCAAGCCCAGTTTATTTGATTTCACTGTTTTTTCTCGTCTACATGGAATGTTCTTCACTTTTCCATCAGTACTCTGTCCTTCCTTTTTCATCTGTCCCATTTCCTTTACAGTCTCTTCCCCCTCCCTCCTCCCCTCAGCCTGAGGTCCAGGTGAGCACCCCCTCCACCCCTCCTACTGACCTAGTTACAGAGGATGAGTCCGCTGGACAGCGCACAGTGGAGGTGGCCATTCCTAATGTGGGGACCTTTGTCATTGAGTCAGAGGAGGGGGGGTATGATGACGAGGTAGCTCTAGCCCAGAAAACTCTTCTCTTCTTTTTTGTGCTGAGAAGTCTATGCCTGTTTGATATATGGACTGAGAGCACCATTAGTCATTCAAGTGGCTCTACAGAAGGTTTTTCACACCTGAGAAAGTCTGACCCTTTACACCAACAGAGTTCAGGACTGGCTTGAGGCTGAAAATGCAGCGCAATAAGACTGATGCCTTTGTTTGCCTTTCTGTATTACTCTTGTGTGAAAAGTCTCTTATTAAGCTAGTCTGCATCTTGGCACAATGGCAGGCTGGCCTTTTGCAGAAAGCTAAGGTCTTCTTCATCACACAAGTCCCTAAAGACAAGAACCCACTGATCTCATGTTCACCTGTAAATGAAGCCAAATGCACCCATAGGGGATGTTAATTTTAGTTTGCACAGATTTCATGCAGTTCTCCTGGAATGCTAGATTGTTTTTGTTTTGAGGTTGGCTGGATATCAGTAGTAGTTGTTGGACAGTATGTTCTGAGTCCATTGCTGCTGTTCGCTATGTGTCTCACACAGCTGTTATATGGCTGCCTTGGTTTTCACACATTATCCTTGTGAGGATTGTGCATTAAACTGACTGGCTGTGTCACTCTAACCAATGCATGAAGTGCTGAGTGATGTCTGGCATGCCCTCACTGCGGTACGCTTTATTGTTGTGCCTCAGAGAATGTAACGTAGTGGTTGACCTTGCTCAGTTGGTCACAAGGTCCTATTGTTTTGTTTGACATGGTTCCTGCTTCCTGGGCAGGCAATGATGACACCCAACATGCAGGGTATAATTATGGCCATTGACAAATCCAGGAGCGTGTATGAAAAGAATGGGCCTGAGGCAGCCTTTTTTAAGGTACACACTGTCTCTCCTACCTCTCCTCACTCCACATTCACTCACTCCACCTTAGTCCACCTTCTGTTTTATCTGTGTCTCTTTCTTGGTCTTCTCTTGTGTACTTTCTTACAGTCCAGTAACAACAGTTTAAAAGGTTACATTTAGTAACTGTTACAATAACACTGAAACTCAACAGAGTAACTTGTGCCTTTCTAATCACATGGGGCTGTTTGCGGGGGGACCAGTGCTGCACAGGTACTCAGCTCTAAATTGCCCACCTCTGTGGGCAGCTCATCCATTCAGCATCTCTGATGGTGCCACCAAGTTTTCAGATGCTCAGAGCCCATCCCCTTAAATTGAGCACTTGCCTCTCAAATCTCTTAAGCAAGATTAAGCAAAATTGTAAAAATAACATGATAGTTCTATATGCTACTTCATAATTGGCGCCCCCCTAATATAATGGTAGGGGAAACACTGATGCATATCCACTTTTTTCCCCACCTAATTTTAGTGATCATCAAGTCTCTTCTGTAGTGGAATTAACATCATATTATGCATGCATACACTTATCGTTATGGCCTCAATGTGTCATTATAGAGAAACGCTCAGTCCAGCATTTACAGAATCCATTAGACCATTTTCAGTCCTACTATTTAAAGATAAATATTGAGCAGAAATATGAACCTAAAATTGCAAGTGCGTTGTTGTTACAGAAATCAACTCAAAGTCCAGAAGTTTGTAATCTGGCAAAAACAGTCATGTTAGAAATTCCTTTAGTTGCAAAATAAAAACCCTTGCAGGTGACCTTTAAGTTCTTGACTCAAGAGGACCTGAATAAGTACTAGAATATATCCTTATAGCACCTCAACCTTAGTCTGAGTTGTTAACTATGACTTGTCGCTTCTTTGCATCTCTGATCAGGCCATAAAGCTGGAGTATGCACGTCTTCTGAGATTTGCCCAAGAGGACACACCTCCTGAAAATGACTACCGATTACAGCACATCATTGTCTACTTCATCCAAAACCAGGCACCTAAGAAGATCTTGGAGAGAACTCTGCTCACACAGTTTGCTGACAGGAACCTGGCCTTTGATGAGAGGTGGGTTACACTTGACAATCTGCTACAACAAAAATCTGCTATTCAATTAAGTGCATTGCATTTTGTTCTTAGTCACATGAAAAAATCAAGTTTGATAATTTACTCTCAAAATGACCAGCACAAGGCAGCATACAGGTTTAGTGTCAGCATGGACTGAAAGTGGACAACATTTTTCTGCTGCAGCTCTTTTCTGATTGTATTACTTCTATCTGATGGTCAAATACAAATCTTAGGAGACACATGTCCAAAAATCACTATTCTTCTTGATACTGCTGTCAAATATCAAGACTCCCACCCTGTTGACATTGTGATGTTGCTGTCATTAGCATCTATAATGTCCCTTACTATCTTTTCAAACTTTTCAATGACGCTTGTTGACCTCAATCCGTATTCATGAGTGAAAAATTGATTTTATTCCCTTCTCTGCTATTTTGAGCAAGATAATTAGATTTATGTGTGCATGTGGCCTCGATAGGAGCCTCCGGAGGAGTGTTTCACTTTTCCTCTCAGCACTAAAGAGTTATTCATTAGTCCATGTTAAGGCCTAGGGGCAGGGTGGACTGTTTCATCTCCTGGAGTACCTCACAGTGACTCATCATCTTACTGCTAATACCACTTCCTCTTCCTGTCTCCCCACCTCCCCCACAGATGTAAGAGCATTATGAATGTGGCACGTGCTAAACTGGACTTAATTAAGCCTGAGGAGGTCAACATGGATGAATATGAGGTCAGTGGAGGCTTCTTCTGGGTTTTATTGATCTAACATAGTAGATATGAGTCTTTTATTCTGCCTGTAATGCAGTATTGTACATTGTCTTTGCTGTGACATTGTTAATCATTAAAAATGCTCATGTTTGCCATTTCATATTACTTTGGAGAGTTTTACATCAGTGAGCTTGCCTCTCCTGATCTCATTCAGATGTGGCACCAGGCCTATCGGAATTTCCGTGAGACGACCATCTTCATGATGTCTGGGTTGGAGCTCTTTCAGAAGACAAAGTATGTGGACACCTTTACAGTGTTCCTCCTAGTAAACAATATTGGAAACAGTGAACTGAGTTTCCAACTACTTCATCAAAACTTTAGCACATAGGAGTTTGGTGTTGCACAAGACAGGTAGTTTGAGCCAAAGTCCCCTCTGTAGCAGCCAATGAAAGTTGTAAAGTTGCCTGCAGAGGGCAGCAGCTTACAGTCTGCGTAGTTCTTAGCTTTATAGTTGTGCTGTGAATTCATCAAGTTTATTTCTTTGATGAAATGTTTTCCTTTCTAAGTTCAGTGCAGCGTTGATACAGCTTTATCTGAATGTAACATCTGTTAATCTCTTCTTTCCAGTTACATGGAGGCTCTGATGTATCTGATTTACTCATACCAGTACAACAAGGAGCTTTTGTCCAAAGGGCTGTACAGGGGGCACGATGAGCAGCTTCTTGGTCATTACCGTCGAGAGTGTTTACTGGTGAGGCAATGCATGCACTAACGCAACAACTTGTCCAGTCTCCATTAAATTAGTGGATATATGTATTACTATATTTCACATGATTAAAACGAAGTGATTATAAAGAAGGTGATGCTTCTGTGCAGGACATGTTTTGAACAGACACCTTTATGTGCAGCAGTTCTTTTCCCCTTAAACCTCTTCTCTTCTTTGTCACTCCCTTTAAGAGGTTGGGTGTGACTTTCTCATTGTCTGTTAATATGACGGACAGGATTGTAAAAATTCTGTCATAATCTTTACCCATAATTTTAAAATTAATTTTAATAATAATAATAAAAAACTTTTTATTATTACTATTTAGATAACACACTTCATACAAAAAAAATGCAGCACAAAGTGCTTGACGATAAAGGCATCATAAGCACTACATGCATCACATGAAAATAGACATAATGAACATAAAACAGACTTAAAATCATTTTTAAAAAATGGAAAGATGAAATAAATCATAAAAAGTAATAAATTATGACATCATTAAAGGATTTTAAAACCATAAATCATAAACTCAAAAAATATACAACATTGTTAAAGAATTGGGTGAAGCCAAAAAAGAGAGATTTTGAGATCTTTATTAGGACAGTCATAGATAGTTAAAGGCAGGGTTCTAACTATAAACTGAGCTTTGTGGGGGTCTCCAAAATAACAGTGCAAAATAACTCAATTCATGACCACACAGCGATGGGACTTACGATTTTTAATCAGCCGTATGTCATGCCCACACAGCGATGGGACTTACAAATTTTAATCAGCCATATAGAGCTCCGGACGTCATGTGACTCAGTTTGTTTACACCACCATGTTGGCAGTCCTTGAGTGAAAATGAATGGCGCCAGTGCTGATTTAAGGTTGTCAGAGTTCACTTCGCAGGTTAAAGCCCAGGAAATTGAGCGATATATTGCAAAACTTGACCGATTAATCATAGCTGAGCCTTACAACGCCCCCGGGTGTTTTTCAGGAGTATTGAGACAGCCAGAGCAGACAATTTTCAAATATTGCAGTATCCTGACATCTACAATTACTTGATCAACTGTCCCTCGTCCTACTCCGGAGATTCCCTGAAAGCTTACAAGAGCCTGGAGGGGTACAAATGGATACAATCTGGCAGCCTTACATATAACGGTACCTAGGCCGTCTTTTGGGATGTTTCAGGATTCGATAAAACGCTCTCCCCTTCACGTGCCTTCATGCCGGGATTGCGTGATGTCAGCTACCGGAGCTCTATTTCACCACATCTACAGCACATAAAACAACACAGATAGGCTATAGGCCTACAGCGCCCCATGGTGTCTTGGCGCCGTAATTGCAGCCAAAGGCCTGTCATTCATGGGAGAATATCTTCGTTCTTTTGGAAAACAAGTCCTTATTTTGGACTAGTTAATATCTTGCTAACGTAAATAATACTCATTACATTGAAAAATACATCATTTGTGATAAAACAGTAGTTGTTAATGTTTTGTTAGAGACCCCCACAGATGTATGGTTGTACAGCTTTCGTGGGAGCTAATGCCCTCTTTATGGGAGCTCAGCTCCCACTGGCTCCCACATACTTCGAACCCTGGTTAAAGGCTAAAGTGAACAGTTACATTTTTAGCTTTCTTTTAAAGATATTAAGCGAGGTAGCTTCCCCGATATCCATAGGTTGTGTGTTCCATAGCTTTGGGGCATAATTGAAAAAGGCTGCATTCTCTATCTTTCACTGACAATCACCCCCTTTACACCTGGCATTAACATGCATTTTTTGTGATCGGATTGTAATCAGATAGCGCTTATCAACAACAACAACAAGATATTAGCCACCCGTGAAGTTGCATTATTGCATGGACTCCTCCTTGTTTTTCGAAGCAGGGGATAAAAACCATCTTCGACAAGTGGAATACTGAGGAAAGCAGAGGAGACAGCGGTGTTTAGCCACTGCTTTTGCTTTGGCTGTGCTCTGGGCCACCACTGTCCGTAGGACTGTGGATGAGGAGCACAGTGCTGACTGGTGGGAGAGGATAGTTAGGGGGACCTTCATGGATGAAGACTGGGAGGCTACTCTATGTATGCGCCGCCAAACTTTAGATTTTATTTGCGAAAGACTGCGACCGAGGTTATCAAGAAGAGACACACACTTGCGGTCAGCCATACCTTTGGAGAAGAGGGTCGCGTGACCATTTGGTACCTAGCAACAGATAGGGGTTACAACACCTTATCCCACCTGTTTGCCATTAGGCCAGCGACCATCTCTAACTGCATTTGGGAGGTCTGTCATGCTGTAAGGTCCCTGTAGAGCCATTACATCAGTTTACCAAGAGGGAACAGGCTTTGGGAAGTTGTGGAGGGATTTCAAGAAATGTGGGGGTTCCCACAATGCGGTGGAGTCATAGATGGCTCGCACATTCCCGTCACTGCCCCCTCTGAGAACACAAAAGACTGCTACAACTGGAAAAGAACACATTCAGCCATCCTTCAAGCTGTTGTTGGTCATTGCTATTGGTATGTATGACACCTCCCAACACACACACACACACGCACACACACACACACACACACACACACACACTCAGACTTCCATACATCATATAGACAGGTGTGGAAGTACCTAATAACAATTCAATCAATCAATCAATTAATCAGTTTTATTTATAAAGCCCAATATCACAAATCACAATTTGCCTCACAGGGCTTCACAGCATACGATATCCCTCTGTCCTTTGGACCCTCGCAGCGGATAAGGAAAAACTCCCCCCAAAAAAACCTTTAACGGGGGAAAAAAATGGTAGAAACCTCAGGAAGAGCAACTGAGGAGGGATCCCTCTTCCAGGACGGACAGACGTGCAATAGATGTCGTACAGAACAGATCAACATAATAAACAGTAATCCGCATGGCACAATGAGACAGAAAGAGAGACAGAGACAGAGAGAGATGCAGGACAGATGGTAATGATAATAACTTAAAATAACATTAATGAAAGTAATAATATAAATAATATAATTATAATTCCGGTTATTGTGGTACAATATGTTGGAAGTATATATTAATATATGATAGTATACATATGTGCCAATAATCATATTTGTATAATAACAGTAGAAGTATGACTAATGATAACAGCAGCAGCAGGAGGCATCTGGCAGGACCACGGCAGCAGTACAACCACACACGTCACACTGTCCAGGCACCGCTGCAAAATAAGTTAACCTGAGAGACAGTGGAGCACAAGGGCTCCGGAGAAGAAGTCGAGTTAGTGACATGCAGTACGGCCGAGTTAGCGAGATGCAGTAACAGGACATGAGTGTTAGCAAAGGAGAGAGAGAGAAGGAGAGAAGGTGCTCTGTGTATTATAGGAGGCAGACTATATCCCGCGGCAGACTAGGCCTAAGTCAGCCTAACTAGGGGCTGGTACAGGGCAAGCCTGAGCCAGCCCTAACTATAAGCTTTATCAAAGAGGAAAGTCTTAGGTCTAGTCTTAAATGTGGAGACGGTGTCTGCCTCCCGGATCGCAACAGGAAGATGATTCCACAGGAGAGGAGCCTGATAGCTGAAGGCTCTGGCTCCTGATCTACTTTTGGTAACTTTAGGGAGTAACCCTGCATTCTCAGAGCGCAGTGTTCTGGTGGGATAATATGGCACTATGAGCTCTCAAAGATATAACGGAGCCTGACCATTTAGAGCTTTATAAGTTAGGAGTAGGATTTTATATTCAATTCTGGATTTTACAGGGAGCCAGTGCAGAAATGTGTTCTCGCCTCTTAGTTCCTGTCAGTGCATGTGCCGCTGCATTCTGAATTAGCTGGAGAGTTTTTAAAGACCTATTAGAGCTACCGGATCATAGGGAATTTCAGTAATCCAGCCTAGAGGTAACAAAAGCGTGGACCAATTTTTCTGCATCTTTTCAGGTCAGGATAGGCCTAATTTTCGCAATATTATGCAGATGAAAAAATGCAGTCCGTGAGGTTTGTTTTAAATGGGAATTAAAAGACAAATCTTGGTCAGATATTATTCCAAGATTTCTTACGGTAGTGCTAGAGGCCAAAGCAATGCCATCCAGAGAAACTATGTCATCAGATAAAGAATCAATTGATCGATTGATTGAAAATCATAATTGAGTACTTGAATTTCTCCGGACTGATTTTCCTTTTGCACTCTATGGAAGAATCAGGCCTAGTCCACACGGACCCGTGTACTTCTGAAACCAAAGGTTTTCGGGCTCAGGTTTAAAAAAAAAACTCGTCCACACGAGTGGTGTGAAAAAAAAAAAAAAAACTATATCCACACGAAGCCACAAAACCTGCTACCAAGTGATGTAATACACATGCCAAAGCAGTAGGTGGCGATGTAACTTCTAACAGAAAGGCCAGTTTAACCAATCAGAAGTCAGAGTCAATACCGTAATAGGGAAGTGCGAAAAATAAAAACAACCCGATCCACAAAAATTGCGCGACCTAATTTAACAGCAGAGGCGCCTGAACAACCAACTATACTACCACGAAAGCAGCGACGGGCCTGCCAATGGAGGTTCTGGATCCGGTCGGGTCGGATCTCCGTCGGCAGGCCCGTCGCTGCTTTCGTGGTAGTGTAGTTAGGGTAGCTAGCAACAGGGGCAGCCTCCTTCGTTGGTCGTTAGGTCGAGCAGCTGGATATGTCATCCAAAGAGAGCAGATAGCACGCTCACAAATAAAGTTAGTGTGACATATAGGGCATTTATGTGTATCTGCCCACTCAATTGTGACATTATTTTATTGGTTTTGTTACAGACACTAGGGATGTAACGATACCAGAAACTCACGATACGATATTATCACAATAAAGAGTCCACGATACGATATATATCACAATATTTATACAAGGGGAAAAAAAGAGAAAATTTGTTGTTAAAAATAGCTATTTTATTCAAAAATAGTGCATGTACACTGTACAGCATGTTATTTTTAACTTGGAAGCGTATCATAAACAAATCAACACACAGTTGAACATGTGC